AAACACACACTATAACCAATGTGAATTTGCACTATCAAATTCAAATGTACCTGTCATCATATAACCAACGGACACTATCAAATACTCGAATCTTCCTCTTTGGAAATTCCACCTCTAGAGCCACCCAATATGCATTGTTGATGTTGTGGGCGATGTACAATACATCAATATCTTCCTCCTATTTCCTCGGTGGACAAGGAAAATCATTGAAAATCCCTATGGCAGTGTTGATATATGCTTCTGAGAATATCCAATTCTTCTCGTTTCCTACAAACTTCGTCTCATAATCTATACACCACATATATGAGACGAATGAGTCTAGGAATGCAACCCTCCCGTTTCGATACGGAGATGGAACTCGGTAAGAACGAGATTTGAATATATCGAATGCAGAGCTAATATGCTGAAAGAAGCATAAGGAAAACAAATTAAGAACAATTCTACCATAACAACAGCCTATAAATATTTTAAGAACAAAACATTTCAAAACAAGTCTGCCACAACTATACCATACAAAACAAGTATACCATAACAACAATACATTTCAAAACAAGTCTACCACAACTATGACACCCTACAAATAAGTCTGCAACAACACTGTGCTATCCTGCAGAACAAGTCTACCACAACTATTTAGTAAACAACCATTTACCAAACAACTATTTAGCATACAACTATACAACTACTCATATCGAGAATTACCTTGCTCGACAACCATCTATATTCTGGAGTTGGCCACATTTCTTTAGGTGTCATCAATGTGAGGTAGAAATCAACCCCTAGAATTTATTCGTCGAACGGGTTTTCCCTAATACAAAAATTTAAAACACTTACTATAGGGAAGTCCTTAAATTAGAATCTACTAATTTAATGAAGAGGAATTATATCCTTTAAATGCAAGAGAAAGATCGAAGCACTTACAAATCTTTCTTGATGTATTGGAGCAAGCAATTTAACTTTTGCCGTTCGACCTCCTCAAATGGGTTGTAATAAGCCTGCCCATGAGATACAACACCCATCATTCTTCGCACAACATAACTCCCTGCAAATGGTGAGTTTTGAGTGTGCGTAATGACACGGGTTCTTGGCTTTCTGCCAGATTGTTGGTCAATGACGGTGGGAAGTGCCATAAGCCTCTCCAACGCTTGGAGTTTCAGGTCGTCATGTTCATCAACCAACTGTGGAATCTTAATTTGCTCTCGCCGAGGCGTCTTATCTGCTTGATCATCAATAACCTCTGTCGGTTTCGCCTCACCCTCCCAGCCTTCTACATTCACTTTACGGACAAACTTAACTTTGAACTTCAGATTCCTAATCACTATTGCTTTTGGAAATTGAGGATCAGACGTATCCTGCATCTCCACAGTCCATGTCTGTTGAACCATAACCCAATTAGTACATTGTTTTAGACTTATCAATTTAATGGTAGATTTGTTTTAAAAATTTTAAACATCCAAAAAATGATTCAGCAAACTTGAAACACAAAAAATTTAAACATCTATAACACCACAGTTGATAATAAACAGAGGAAGTAGATAGTACAAATCTGCAAAGTTTGGTACAAAAAGTCTACCATTACTAGTTTGAAAATGCATAAAAGCACAACACCCTAGAGGAGAGACTTGCGTACCTGATCCTTCTTAGCCGAGGGTTCATCTGCTTTGGATTCGGCATCTCCAGCCGGTTTCTCTCACGCAAGTTCTGGAATCGGAACGTTGTCTTTCGCCATTCCCTTAAATGTATTGACCCTCTTGTCTATTGAGTCAGTTTTAGAGGATAAAAGCTGAATTGCCTGTAAAAGCGCGCTTGTCTCACTAGTATTCTCCTGCCTCGTAAACTTCTTCTTTACCTTCTCCTACATTGTAAACTTCTTCTTTACCTTCTCCACATACTGACCTACCGACATCTCCAGCTCTTCATCATACTCATCACTACTCTCCGCCTCCTCACTAGTTTCCGTCTCCTTCTCTTTCATTTTTCCTTTCTTCTTCTCCCTCAAGTCACTTTCTACCTTTTGGTTCTTCTTCCTTTTAAGCTGTTCCACAAAGTCATCATCACTTCTCTCGACACTATCCCTTTCCTCCTTCTCACTCTCCTTCTTCTGGTTCTTCTTACTCTTCTTCTTCTTCTCACTCTTATCCTTCTCGTCACTCTTCTTCTTCTTCTCACTTATCCCCTCCGTCTCCCATGCGCTCTCATCCAACCGTGATTCGAGAATATCAATTATCAAATTATGCAGCAAGGGATCCACCTTTGCGTTTGCATCTTCGTCTGGTCAATACGTATATATTTCCTCCCGTGAAACCTCCAATAGGTGCCTAACCCGACCCGAATCTGCAATATTACCACACAACTCTATAAGCAAACAAGTCTACCGCAACCATAATACAATAACCAAAGAAGTCTACCATAACATAACTTGATAATCAAACAAGTCTACCATAACCACAAGCAAACAAGTCTACCGCGACCACAATATAATAATAAAAGAAGTCTATCATAACATAACTCGATAAGCAAACAAGTCTACCACAACCAGAAGCAAACAAATCTACCACCGTGATTCTTTACCTAATCCACAATCAACCGAAACCTATATTATCAAAAAAAACATTTATTTGTTGAGTCGAAACTAGCCTAATATCACATAAACCTACAACTATTGTCAAATCCACAATATAAGTGAACATACCTTGTTGTTAGGCTGCGTACATACTTCCTCCTCCAACAATTTCTCTAAGTTGTACCGATCCCTGCACGATTTCCATTGAAGTAGAGGACAAGGAAATAACTGTGGATTGGTTTCAAGTCTCCCAAATTTTTTACCCAATGTTGCCACAGACTCATATGCCCAAATGAGAAGGGCGTGACACATCCTTGGAACGTGTAGCTAAGTCCTCCAACCAATGCAATTTTAACGGACGAAATTAGCTGCTTAAAGCTGACACGACCCCACATATACCTCTCAAAAGCTGCCTCATCAACCACTCTTTTAGCACAATCGAAAGGGATTTGCGAATTCCACTGAATACCAAATATGGCAACGTACAATGTGAATAGAAAGCCAACCATCTTCTTCTTTGCGGACGACCATGTACTGCATATTTCAAAAAGAGCAACCAACTCATGCCAATTAGGCCCGACTCTTGTACTCACACCCATCTCTTCCCAGAACTCTTTATGATCATTGTCCCACTCATCATCAGCAAATGGCTCACAGTTTAGGCCAGTGATATCACGAAACTCGTAAAGAGAAAACCACAATGGACGCCCACCAATAAGTGACCAGATTTCGTAACTCCTTTGCACCACCAATTGGTTTGTTATGAAGTTATGGACCGTGCTCGCAGCCCATATGTAACGATTCTTGGCAAGCTTCAACATCACGCCAACCTGAGAACTGAGCATAATGTTGTGGTTGACATCCTCTCCAACACCCTCAAGCAGCAACCTAAAGCCCGATAAATGACAATAATGATTCAAGCTTCTCTTTTGCACAAGAGATTTCCCAGGCGGAAACAATCTCGGTGGGTACTTCTGATTTCGCCCCCTCTTATCATTTGAAGATGCCATATAACCTGCAAAAATTTAACATATATATCAATCAATACATCTATGAAACAAATCTACCACCAATACATAAGATATATAACAAATCTACCACCAATAAATAAGATATCAAATAAATCTACCTTCAATACAAAATCTATCAAACAAATCTACTACCAACACAAAAGCTATCAAACAAATCTACCACCACGACCATCCCCAATACCAAAAAAACTAAGCTATCAAACAAATCTACCGCCACTATCAAACAAATCCACCACCACGACCAACCTCAATACTAACAAAAACTAAGCCAACAAACAAATCTACCACTACTATATACCATAGATGAAACAAATCTACCACCACGACCATCACTATATACCAAATATCAAACAAGTCTACCACCACGACCATCGTAAATACCAACAAAAACCTAATTTGTCATGACGGCTCTGTAAATCCTCACCAGAATAATCTTCTCAAGCGAGCAGACTGTTTTCACCGGTCAACATTGTATTAATCTGAGGCCCGATAGATCTGTATAAAAAAATAGGATAAGTAACAATTAGTTTTTGTTAGTTAGTGTTCTCGTAAATCTCGATAAACACAGCAATTTGGTAACCAAAAAAAAAAAATTGCCGGCGGCGGACCTTAGATTTGTCAATGTATGGTCAAACGATTTGCTGGCGGCGGATCTAAACAACCTCGATAAACAGTTTTCTGCAATAAACAAATTTGCTCTTAGATTTGAAGCTCTAACTCAAAACCGCCGAAAATTAAACTCAAAAATCCCGGTACCTTTGCTCCACCGACGATGTAATCGGACCTCCCAAATAATTCCTTAATTGATTCTGATCCGTCGCCTACGACGCCGCCGGAAATGGATAAGATTTCTTCAAATCGGACCAAAAATCCTATCGCCGTCGCAAGCTTCTTTTTTTTTTATTAGGTTTCACGGATTTATTTTTTTTTTCCTTTTTTCTTTGTTTTATTATTTAATATGTTTTTTGTTTATTTTTATTACTAAAATGACATTTTTGTTATTATATCTAAAATTTGGATTTTGATGTCTTTACACAACTTTGTAAAGTTATTTTAGTTAGTCAGAAGGATATTATTCTAGTCAATACCCTATTTAGTAAGGCTATTTTAGGTAAATAACTCTACTCCAAATTTTTTTTTTCTTTTCTGAATATACCTGCAATTCATAAGAAAGGTGATTCCTTTAATGTCAAGTTTTTGTTATAAACTCAAAGGGAAAGTTAGATGGTGAGAGCTTTAGGTGTTTTCGCTTTTCAGTTTTTAGTGACAGCTGCCAAAAAACTTTAGGCGTGACCAACAATAACATGCAATTCATTTAAAATTCTTCAATAGTACTTTCTAGTTTTGAGGTGTCCCACAATCCTTTATATATAGCATTGCTTTGCATTTCCTTATTCCCTCACTCACACACACACACAGATAACAGGGATAATCTGGTGTTATGTGAAGCAAACAACTTTCCTCTAACTCCCATGACGTTTTTGAAGAGGGCTTCGGAATGTTATCCAAACCAAACTTCCATAATCTATGGACAAACACGTTTCACTTGGCCTGAGACCTATGAACGTTGCCGTCGTCTCGCTGCCTCTCTCCTCTCTCTTAACATCGCCCGAAACGATATTGTATGACATTTCCTTCTCTTTCCTATGCATGACCTATCATATCTTCGTCTTTTGTTTGTTTTTTTTGTTTTATCTATCTTTATTCGTGCATTACAAGATGCTATTATCATCGTTACTTTTTTTAATAATGATATTTATTTATATATGTCTAGGTCTCCATTTTGGCCCCAAACGTACCTGCAATGTACGAGATGCATTTTGGCGTTCCCATGACCGGAGCCGTACTTAACCCTATCAATACACGTCTCGATGCCAAAACCATAGCCATCATCCTCCGCCACGCCCAGCCAAAGATCTTATTCGTGGACCACGAGTTTACTTCTTTGACCCGAGAAGCTCTTCGTCTCCTACCTTTTGACGACTCACAACCTCACCCACTTATCATATCCATTGATGAGATCGATTCCACTGGAAAGCCTTCCTCCACCAAGGAGTTAGACTACGAGGGACTCATTCGTAGAGGAGATCTTAAAACTTCTTCGTCCGAAAGTATGTTCCGTGTCCACAATGAAAACGATCCTATTTCTCTGAACTACACATCTGGCACTACGGCTGACCCAAAAGGTGTAGTTATTAGCCACCGAGGAGCGTACTTGAGCGCTTTGAGCTCGATTATGGGATGGGAAATGGGGATGTCCCTGGTCTACCTCTGGACTCTACCTATGTTTCATGCCAATGGATGGACGCACACTTGGTCCGTGGCTGCACGTGGCAGCACTAATGTTTGCGTAAGGCACGTGACTGCCCCAGAGATCTTTAAGAACATAGATTTGCATGGCGTGACGCACATGTCTTGCGTTCCTACGGTTTTTAGAATTCTCCTAGAAGGAGGTCGAAATGGCTGGTCACACAAGTCCCGACCTGTTCAAGTGTTGACCGGAGGTTCATCACCACCGGCTACACTTCTTGAGAAGGTGAAGCGGTTGGGGTTCCAAGTGATGCATGGCTATGGGCTTACGGAGGCCACCGGTCCGGTTCTCTTTTGTGAGTGGCAAGATGAGTGGAACAGGTAAAAATCACCATTATGCGTTTACAGAATATACTAGAATCTCATATATATAACCATGTTAAAGAAATGTTTTTTTCTCAACCATGGTGAAAATCAATAATACTAATATGAAAACTGAATTCTACAATTTAAATAGACTACCACAGCATCAACAGATGCAGCTGAAAGCAAGGCAAGGGGTAAGAAACATAACCCTAGCGGATGTTGATGTGAAGAACACGACAACTCAGGAGAGTGTCCCACGGGACGGGAAGACAATGGGAGAGATTGTCATTAAAGGGAACAGTGTAATGAAAGGGTATCTAAAGAACCCTAAAGCGACATCTGAAGCGTTTAAACACGGATGGCTCAACACGGGAGACATAGGTGTGATTCATCCAGATGGGCACGTAGAGATCAAAGATCGATCCAAAGACATCATCATCTCGGGAGGTGAGAACATAAGCAGTATTGAAGTCGAGAAAGTTATTTACGAGTACGAGAAAGTGCTCGAAACTGCGGTCGTGGCCATGCCTCATCCTCTGTGGGGTGAAACCCCGTGTGCGTTTGTTGTTCTAAAAAAAGGTGAGACTAATCAAGGACACCGTGAAGAGGAAATAGTCACCAGAGAAAGAGATTTGATTGAGTATTGTCGTGACAATATGCCGCATTTTATGTGTCCAAGGAAGGTGGTGTTCTTTCAAGAGCTGCCAAAGAACAGTAACGGAAAGATTCTTAAGTCTAAGTTGAGAGACATCGCTAAGGCTTTGCCAATCGATGAGGACAATGCTGGTTCCAAGGAAGTTAATGGACACGGTCTTAGTCACGTTAGTTCTAAGTTATAAGGTTATGGTATCATTTATCATTTTAGTTCTATATATATGTGTGTTTGGACTGATATTTTTCTTAGTTTGCGCGTATAGATACAATTAAATCTAAGCTAAAGAAAAGATAAATTATTAAAAAGAGGAAAATATTTGGTGAATGTTGTGAACAATCATTATCAATACTTGATAAAATCGAGATATCGTTGGAGGATTGGCAGGCGTAAAATCATTCCCCATGAATGAACAAAAGTAGCAATAAGCAACACAACGAATTGAACAAACTTCAGAGTTCGAATTCGCAATTTAAGTTATTAGAACATAAAAAAAAAAAAAGCAAATCCAGCTACTACGTAAGACTAGAAGAAAAACAAAGCAAACAATTCTTAATTTTTTTAGGAAGATAAAATTATTAGGACATTTGATTCCTGTTTTATCTTGTTCAGCGTGTATAGATCAAGTATCTGAAGCAAACAGTCTTCCTACGCGTCTACAAGTCTTCCCACTTGTACCGGTAACGTGGAGAATACCACCACCACAAGTTGGAGAAGGCAGAGTAGATCTTGAAGGAGGAACGCCGATGCAAATTTGATATAATGAACGATCATATGGATATGATCAGAGTCTTTCTATTCTATTAAATGATCATTTTTTCATCAAGGAAAAAACAAAATCAAATTTAGTAAAACATGAGTTCGCCCTAGCGTCTAAACGCTCCCAGACGATTCAAGGAAGGAAGCCATATGGGAGAAATTGTCTTCACCATCCTTCCCTAGAGTTTCCCGTTAGGGAAGAAAATCTGTCGACCATCGTCCGACTTCATGAGAGACGATTACTTTCCTGAATCATTGCCAATAAATCATATCAACTTTCTCACTGATTTGCCTTCTTATATAATTGGATTCATTTCAACGAATGCTGGAGGCAGGAGTTACTCGTCATAAGTGGCTGTTCATTATCCTTCTGGCTCTGCTAAAAATTCTTCATTGACGCATATGAACATTTATTCGGATCAACTTTCAGTCTTGAGTGAAGACCTCCATAAGAATATATTTAGTTTATGCTTTATTATTTTTAATTCGTTTTGTAATGATCAAAAGAAGATGTTTAATTTCCTCTTGTAATACGTAATAGATTTGTTTTGAACTCGCAACATTAAAAGGTAAAGCTAACGAAAAGGTAATTGCGTCGACTAGTATGCAGTTTTTTTATGTTTTCACGTTTAGAAAATGTGATTTTACTAAATGCATACCATTCATAATATTAAACACTGAATGATAAAAAATAAACATGCTATTTTTAAATTTATCCCACACGTTTTAAATTTATAACTAGTTTAGAGAAAAATATATTCATCTAATAGATACTAGCTTTTCAACGTTTTGAGTTTATTCAGTTTTCAGTTTACCTATCCTATTGATTCTATTAGTTTATCATTCTGCTATTCTCCTATTCAACTATTAAGTTGACATACCAGTAAAATTCAATGTCTTTTCTATGAAAAAGGCAACACGGGAGGGGATTCAAGGGTTATGGATTTCATTCAAAGGGATTATATCTGGAAAACAACACATGTATTTTAATTTTTATGGCGAAATAGCCTTTTGTTAAAATGGATCGATTGGCAGGAAAGTTTTGGGGGGGGGGGGGGGGGGGGTACGGACATTGGATCCATTCCGAACATCTATCCAGATTCACGGTCAAGGCACATGGGATAATGGATCAGATTCAGGGTGTTATATTTAGGGTTGTTGATTCCACCGTTCAAAAGAAACAATAGTTATAAAGAGGAGACTGAGGTATGGTGTGACGATTCGGATTTAAGGAGACTATATCAATATAAATCGAGAAAGACAGGAGAAAAAGAAAACAAGTGGAAGACAGGAGAAAAGGAATACGAGCATACAATATGATACATATGTAATGGGGAGACACAATCAGAAATCGAAAATGGGGAGAAGTTATTTTAAATCCTCGATTGTGTTCAGGGAGAACTCAATGGTCCGAAGGGGTATGTGCTTCTTTTACTTTTGTGGATTGACCTTTTAAGATTAAAAGATAATAAATGTGGGAGAAGGAATCTACTCCTCATAGTTTTTTTTCTCAAATCAGGATTACAATTTACTCCTATATATAATCTGAACGACTAAATATGGTTTATTAGGATGGCGATAAAGGATCAATGGATGATTGAGAAGGATAAATTGGATTGTCAACAAATTATGGTGCCTCCAAATGTGGATCACTCAAAACGTGGGAGGCCTGGTTTGGAGAATTACAGAATAATTGGGTTGATTTGGTTTAATAAAGGACATATATGGCAATGCCCACATGTACAAATTCATTTTGAATATTGGAATGACCAGAATTAGTGTGCTATCATTTGACATTTTTAGGAATGGGTTACAAAAGTGAATTGTGGGATTCATTTGGGCGTGGATATTATAAATAGAGAAGGCAACTACAGATATATTACATATTCCAGTGTAAACATTCTGGTACTATATTGTTCTAAAAGTGTTGATTTTCTTGCTTTCAAATGTCTCAATCTTGTTGCTTGAGTTCAAAAATGTTGGTAACAAAGACAAAAATACGTATACTCCAAGGCTAAAGATTATTGTGCTGCAGTTTGATTATGGTCATCTGATTTAGGGGCTATTCACTTACCCTTATAGTGTGCTGCATGAATCCGACAGCACAGGACATGAACTCTCTATTGTTCATGATGCCAGGGATCTGGAAGATGGATGATAGAGTGGCTGAAGCAGATCTTGGAATGGGACGGTTCCAATTTGATCTCAACGAGGAGGAGGATATTAAGATGGTGCTACAATTATAGCCGTATAATTTCAATGGCTGTATGGTGGTGGTTGTTCATTGAGAACCGCTTATGGATCCATTCCGAATATCTATCCAGATTCACGGTCAAGGCACATGGGATAATGGATCAGATTCAGGGTGTTATATTTAGGGTTGTTTGATTCCACCGTTCAAAAGAAACAATAGTTATAAAGAGGAGACTGAGGTATGGTGTGACGATTCGAATTTAAGGAGACTATATCAATATAAATCGAGGAAGACCGGAGAAAAAGAATACAAGTGGAAGACATGAGAAAAGGAATACGAGCATACAATATGATACATATGTAATGGGGAGACACAATCAGAAATCAAAAAATGGGGAGAAGTTATTTTAAATCCTCGATTGTGTTCAGGGAGAACTCAATGGTCCGAAGGGGTATGTGCTTCTTTTACTTTTGTGGATTGACCTTTTAAGATTAAAAGATAATAAATGTGGGAGAAGGAATCTACTCCTGATAGTTTTTCTTCCCAAATCAGGATTACAATTTACTCCTATATATAATCTGAACGACTAAATATGGTTTATTAGGATGGCGATAAGGGATCAATGGATGATTGAGAAGGATAAATTGGATTGTCAACAAATTATGGTGCCTCCAAATGTGGATCACTCAAAACGTGGAAGGCCTGGTTTGGAGAATTACAGAATAATTGGGTTGATTTGGTTTAATAAAGGACATATATGGCAATGCCCACATGTACAAATTCATTTTGAATATTGGAATGACCAGAATCAGTGTGCTATCATTTGACATTTTTAGGAATGGGTTACAAAAGTGAATTGTGGGATTCATTTGGGCGTGAATATTATAAATAGAGAAGGCAACTACATATATATTACATATTCCAGTGTAAACATTCTGGTACTATATTGTTCTTAAAGTGTTGATTTTCTTGCTCTCAAATGTCTCAATCTTGTTGCATTGAGTTCAAAAATGTTGGTAACAAAGGCAAAAATACGTATACTCCAAGGTTAAAGATTATTGTGCTGCAGTTTGATTATGCTCATCTGATTTAGGGGCTATTCACTTACCCTTATAGGGTGCTGCATGAATCCGGCAGCACAGGACATGAACTCTCTATTGTTCATGATGCCAGGGATCTGGAAGGTGGATGGTAGAGTGGCTGAAGCAGATCTTGGAATGGGACGGTTCCAATTTGATCTCAACGAGGAGGAGGATATTAAGATGGTGCTACAATTGTAGCCGTATAATTTCAATGGCTGTATGGTGGTGGTTGTTCGTTGAGAACCGCTTATGGATCCTAACTATCCGTCAACAATCAAGTTTTGGGTGCGCATGATAGGCATTCCTTTGCACTTCTGGGCTGAACCAACTTTCAAAGACGAAGCGGAGGGAAGAGAGCTGATCGAGAAAAAAAGATGATATATAGGCCGGAGTTGCGAGTTACAAAGGTGTTCTGGAGGGAAAGGGAATAAATCATGGAGATATAGGGGAGTTGATTAGAGAAAGTACGGATGCTATTAGGGGTAAAGGAAAGGTATGTGGGGCTAATGGGAGAGGAGTACTATTATCCTTGGAGCGGATCCAAACAGAGCAGTGATAAATTTGGGGGGGGGGGGGGGGGGGGGGTTCAGATACCTTCTAGGTATGCTCATTCAAAGGAGATGCGATCACGCTTTGGTGGAAAGTCACATGGGTACAAAGGGGGCACAAAGGGTTTTTTCTTAAGACATAAAACCATGAAGGAGACTGCGAACTTGGGTAAGTTGGCAGAGATGTCAATAGGCATGAGTTCTAAGAGTCCAAAGCAGCATTCGTCGAAAAAGGTTTGTAAGGTGATTGACGTTGATGAATTGGTACTCGATATTGACGATTTAGGGATTATGATTGATAGAGTGGTGATGATTGAACGATCTGATGAGTTCATGCATGAGATGTGTTCTTTGTCACAAATGGGAGATGAGCTAATTAATCAAAATGCTGATCTCTTGGAACCAGGGGACAATGTTAACAACAAGGATAATTTGTTTGAGGTTTCTGATAAGCAATCGGAGGCAGCAACACAGATTTTAGGAGAGGTACTTACTGCTAACCTGGCTGGCTTCGGATGGTAGTGAAGAGTTCCTGGAGAGGATGGGGTGAGAGGAAACAATTCTGGAAGAACCAGGACTTGCAAGTCTTGATTAAAAAATCGACCAAAAGGGGTGTGAAAAAGAGACTTTTCAAGGGATCCGTTGCAGTGGGAGGGGGCTCAAGAAAACTGTTACGTGTGACCACACTAAGGAAAAAGGAGTACAAAGGAATACTAAACATGCTGGAGATTAGGGTACTCTTCAAGTGAAAAAAGCCTGAATGTACGGTTGAGGGGCCAGATAATCAAGCAATTGGTTAATGAGGGCATTGAGTTGGAATAGTCAAGGTTTTGGTAATAAGTATACAATAATCTATCTTAGGGAGATTTGGAGGAAACTTAGATCATATTTTCTTTTTTTTCTTTGAAACTAAACAATGTTCTGTTTTTGTAAAGCAATTTCAGTTTCATTTTAGTTATGATTATATGTATATGGTTCATTCCTGTTAAACAATATTTTATCTTCAAATCTTTTTTTTTTCTAGCAAGAGACTTATTGATATTGAGGTATGGTTCAAGGGCACAATTTACATGTTGTATATGGCGATCCAGCTCCGAAACATAGAGATTTGGTTTGGGAACGAATAGCCAGAACATGTTTAACAAGACAGGACCCGTAGTTTAAAATTAGGGATTTTAATAAAATTACAGATAATCATGAAAAACAAGGAGTAGTGCTTAGACATGCATCTTCTTTTATTGGCTTTAACACATTTATTAATAACTGTGGACTCATAGACTTCTGAACCAGGAGAACACGTTGTCTTGGAAAGGAATGCGTAACGGACAAAACGTCCGGTATAGACTCGATCGGGCAAATGAGGATGACATGATTTATTTCTATTTTCTTATATGGAGTACTTGCGGATGATTGGATCAGATCATAGACCTGTTGTGGCAACAATTACAAAAAAAAGTGAAACGGAAATGACAATTTAGATTTGATAAAATGTGGATTGAGCAAGATGGGTTAATAGACGCAATAACAAAGGTTTGGAGTTACGATCAATTTGGGAAGCTCGCTATTTGACAGAATTACCACATGTTAACATAAGATATCAAAGTGGTGTAACGAGAATCAACCATCTGGACGGGATAAAATCAAAGATCTTTAGAGAATCCTCAAAGATATTCAGACTGACGACACAAGGTCACAAGAAAATTTGAATGGAATAACCCAAAAGCTTAAGGATGCTTATTGTGATGAAGAACAATTCTGGAAACAGAAAAGTGAAAATATGTGGAACAGGTGTGGGGATCTTAATATAAAGCTTTACTATGCGACAACAAAACAAAGATGGACGATTAACATAAATTTTGGGCTGTATCATAAGCAGGATGAATGGGTGGACAGAGAAAATAAGGTGAAATAAGTTGTGGTGGTTTATTTCAATGATTTATTTACATCTACTTTCCCAACGATGTTTGCGGAAGTGTTAATGGAAATAACACCAGCAATAATGGATATTGACAATGAAGAATTAAATAAAATGGCAACAGAAGAAAAGGTGAAGAAAGTGTTCTTTATGATGAACATCAGATGTATATTATAAAAGTAGACGTGGTATAAATGATAAATGATTTCATATGAAAATGAACTTGTGAAAAGTGTTTAACATAAAAAATATATGCCTTATTACAAGCCAGAGCGACCAACCAGAGTGACAGAGTTACAGACCATTAGTCTATGCAATGTGGGTTACAAAATTATATCTAAGGTCTTGTGTCAGAGATTACGCAGATTGCTGCCGAGGCTGATATCCGAGGCACTATCAGCATTTCTGTTAGGTCGAGTTATTTTGAATAATATTTTGATTGCACAAGACATGTTTGACGGAATAAGGACAAATAACTCTTGTAAGAAAGATTTTATGGCGGTAAAAACTGATATGAGCAAGACATATGATCATGTGGAATAGTCTTTTGTTGAAAATTTACTTCAGAAAATGGGGTTTGCAAACAAATGGATTACATGTATGATGTAGTGTATTCAACCCGTCAATATAAGGTTATCATTAATGGTCATACACAAGGACACATAAAATCCAAACAGGAACTCAAGCAAGTGGACTTTTGTCTCTAAACCTATTTATTTTATGTACATAAATGCTACTTTCAAATTTTTAAAAAGCACAAAATGGTAAATTAGTTACGGGTATGAAAACTGCTCGGGCTAGTCCGTCTAGTTTCACATATGTTATTCACAGATGACGGTCTTTTCTTTTGTAAGGTAACATAGGAGGAATCAACCGCCATACTCAATATTTTAAAACAATATGACTCAATATCAAGGCAACAAATTAATTTTGACAAGTTATCGATTCAATTTGGACATAAAGTGGATACAAACATAAGACATTTGGTATATTCCACATTAGGTATTTTCAATGTTGGGGTATGAGTACATATTTGGAAATCCAAAAAATGTATGGGAGGGGAAAAAACGAAGATATTTAACTTCCTTTTAGAAAGGCAACAGAAAAAGGTTAATAGTTGGACATCCAAATTGTTATCAAAATGGGATAAGATGATTCTTATTAAATCAGTGGCAACAACAGGACGTACGCTATGCCATGCTTTAGATTACCAAAAATGTTAAATACCAAACTAATAAATATGGTGGCTAAATTTTGGTGGAGTACCAATGACCAGACACGCAGTATGCATTGGTTAGCATGAAATAAATTATGTAAACATAAAATGGATAGGGTTTTGGGTTCTGAATGATTGAGGATTTTAATATGACCCTCATCACTAGCAGCTCTGATGTCTTATTGACTACCCAAAATCTCCTTTCACTAGAATCTTTAAATATCGATATTTTAGGAATGGTACACCGCTTGACCAAATCCAATCGTATTTTGCATCGTTTGGCTGGAAGAGCATTATCTCTGCTAGATCTCTAGATCATAAAGGGCTCATCAAAAGTGTTGGATCAGGTCATTACATATCTGTACGGAATGATCCATGGCTTCCTGACTCATGCCCGAGAACAGCAATAAACAAAGGGTATAATTTCTACCGGAGCTAACAGTCAATCAATTGATTGATCGCTCAACTTCTATGTAGAATCTACAACTAATCGAAGAATTAATCATCTCGAAGGAAATACCACTAATTATTGAGCTCGTTACTACTAGGAATAGGAGACAAGATCTCATAGGATGGAGTTTTACAAAAGCAGGATGCTATACTGTGAAGTCGGGATACTTAACAGAACAGACAACACCTGACTTTTCGGCTCCACAACAGGTGTACAGACCAGATGTGAGTAAGTTACATACATTTGTGTGGTCAGTCAAATGCCCGTCAAAGATGAAACATTTTCTATGGAAAGTTATTTTGGGTTGTCTGGTAGTTATAGATAGACTTCAGAATAAAAAAATCAATAGTGATCCACAATGTAGTCGTTGTGGCGCAGCAAGGGAAAAAAAAATCATACTCTTTTTGAATGACCACCATCTGTTCAAGTATGTGCATTGTCAGTGATTCCCACACATATGCATGTTTTTATGACATATGCGCTCTTTCCTAATATTGCCACATTTGTTTTGGAATCTGACAATCCATGGAGATTTGAAGAATTATCTATGGTTATCTGGTACATATGGAAAATAAGGAATGATAAGATCTTTTCAAACATTGATAAGGATCCGCGAGAGGTTGTATGACTAGCAACAGCAGAAGGGAGTGCTTCAGAGGAGGGACAACTTGACACTTCACCGTTTGAAATTCATGACATGATTATTCAGAAGGATGTGTTAACACGGCAAACAGATGGGTCTTGGAAACAATCCATACCAAATACAGGTTTGGGCTGGTTCTGTCAAAGAAATGAAATAATGGGTACTTTGACGGGGGCAAGAATGTGCTTTAGAGTATATCCTATTTACACGCATCATTGGAAGCTTTGTTATAGGGTATGCATTGTAAGCTTGATGCAATCTTAATGGAGATGGCTTTTTTCACTGACTGTTCCGAATTGGTGAAGATGGCATCGAACCCAGAGGAGTGACTGGCATTTGCATTACATCTGGAGGAGTACGAGATTAGCAGAAAAGAGTTTGTTTCCTTCTCGATATTTCAGATACCACGCAAGCAAAACACAAAGGCAGATAAATTACTAAATAGTACTCGGGATTACTTTCATCATCTACAATATGTAAACTCAGTTCTACCAAGCTGACTCACTGAACCCTTCAAGAATTTTAGGACTGTTGACAAAAAAACTATAACATTAAATGAATGAAGAATTAGTTAGAAAAAAAAGTATAGTAAAACATTGACTCAGTTTTCCAAAATCAAAATAATTTTAAAAGTAGTCTGGTCAATTTTTATAGTGCTTTCACATTATATCAGTTTTTTTTTAAAAATTTAAATTTGGTTTTACTATGACATAACTAAAAGTCTAAACTATGAACCGAAAGTAGTAAACCATAATCTCCAATTATGATATTAGACACGCACATAAAAAAAAAATTCAAAATAAA